GGCTCAAAGCCCCCAACCTAGCATGGGTCCTGCTTTTACCTCGTGGATTTTTACCAAGGGAGAGATGTTTTGGGAAGATGGGATTCCTCTTTTCCTCAAGGATTTTTCTTCCAAGTCCCCTCTCCCAAAAAATGTTTACAAAAGCAGCATCTTAGGATTTGCAATGTCATTTTAATAGGATTTGACATTGTCTTTTTTTTTTTTTTTTTTTTTTTTTTTTTTTTTTTTTTTTTTTTGCATGGACTCATGGAGTGACCCACCTCATCTCTCCATATACCTACCTTAGCACCAAATCATGATTGTTTTTCTCACACCTCTCTCCTGGAGCCACCCAGAGACCCAGCTCTTCCTCAGACTTGGCCTCCCCCCACCCCCAATCCCCCAATATTACACACTGGCACATGGATTTTCTTCGGTGAACACAGAGACTAGGATTCGGTGCTCACAGACCCCTGGCAACCATCTAGTTCTATCACCTGCTGGGCCCTGTTGATATCTGAAGTGGGCCTTTGTTGATGCTTTGTATTGTTAAAAAGAAAAGCAATGGTGTGTGGGAGGCACCTCAGTGGCGCAGGGTGATGGGGACAGGTGGAGGGCAAGGGGCACACAGCACCTGACAGACAGTTCAATGGAAGGTAATAGACCTGGGTTTCAGTGTTCGGTCTATGCCACCAGGGGCAAAGCAATCAAAGGGGGTAGGTCTCAATTACCCTGTCTGTAAAATGGAGTGAATCATACGTGTCTCCTTACCGGGGAGATATTTTAGGAAAAGAACTGAAGTCATACAATTGAAAGCACTTTATATTTTTAGCAAAGAAAAACAGGTGTGTGTGTGTGTGTGTGTAGGTGGGTGGGTGGGTAATGGGCAATTAAATCCATTTCATGCCACTGTTTTCACCCCCAAAAGAATATAATCCAGCAGGTGTTATTTAAAAATTTTGAGGGGCGCCTGGGTGGCTCAGTCGGTTAGGTGTCCGACTTCAGCTCAGGTCATGATCTCGCGGTTCACGAGTTCGAGCCCCGCGTCGGGCTCTGTGCTGCCAGCTCAGAGCCTGGAGCCTGTTTCCGATTCTGTGTCTCCCTCTCTCTCTGACCCTCCCCCCGTTCATACTCTGTCTCTCTCGGTCTCAAAAATAAATAAAAAAGTTTAAAAAATTAAAAAAAAAATTGAAACCAGCTCTGTGCTAACTCTTGTGAGCTATGTGGAGGAATCATATGACATGGTCTCTACCTTTAAAGAATTTACAATCTAACCAGGTTGCTCAGCTAACACACACGAAACATTGATGAGGTGCGGTGCACTGACTGTGGGTTTGTAACGATGTTTCACAACCATCCTATTCAAGGCGATGAGGAAAGGATTATCTGGTGATGTGACAATGGAGCCAATAGACGGGTGTGCCCCTCTTGGACCAGCACACCAGCACAACCGCCGGCCTCCTACTGTTGCCTTTCTGTCCTTGCTGGGGCACGGGGGTCTTCCAAACCATCCTCACCGCTGTCTTCACCAGGGCTCATGAGTCATGGCCTGATGCCTTGTGACTTGGGCTTGAGGAGATGCCAGTGCCTTCCCCGGGGGTCTCCTCTCCTCATCCCTTTCCACGGTGCCCTTCACCTACAGTCATTGACACCTCCACCCTGTACCCTTTCCCCCGCCGCTGGCTACAAATGCCATCACGACTACAGTAACTGCAGCAGATGCTCTAGGGTGGCCCTGGGTGGGTCACTGCGGTGCTGTCGTCCCCATCCCGTCTGTGCTGGCCGAGAGAGGCCACCTCCCTTGCCCCTTCCACAGGAGGAAGAAGGGCGCTAGCGTATCCCTTCTAATTTCTGCATTTGCCCCAGGTGGATTAGAAAAGACGCGAGGGGCTCCCCTCCCCCCCAGCACGGAGCGCTGTGTCCCCTTCGGGGACTGCCCCCGGCCTTGGGTGGGGGAGCCAATTTGCAATGGGGGTAAAGGACCAGTTTCATTGGTCATGCTTAGCCTGCAGATCCCGGCTCCAGATTCTCCAGTGCTGGGCCAGCAGATTTAGCTCCTTTTCTTTTTTGGGGATTGCCAAAAAAGGCTCAGCATAACTTCTCAGAAGGAATAGGTTGGTGTGATTGCTATCAGCTTTGAAAATTAAAAAAAAAAAAAAAAAAAAAAAGGGAAATGCTAATTAAAATAAAAATCACTACCAAGTTCATCATCAGGACTACTCAAGCCTTGAAGCAATATTTGCAGTGTAGGTGGGAACGGGCTGCCCCCTCGGTGCCCCTGGGGAGAGCAGGTTGACATTCAAGCAGGAGGTAAACGTTCATATGCTCAAGCAGTTTGTGTAGCCTCTCCCCGGGTAAGTGTACCAGTGGTTCTTTCAAGCAGGTGCTTTTTTACTCTTGCAGTGTGGGAATAATATCTGGAGACATTTTAAATTGCTTTGTTTTCTATTTATACCAACCCAGAAATATGTTCCCCCTTCTTTTCCTCTGTTGTTCGGTGCATCTGCGATGCTTACCTGGGACTATTTTTGCTGTGGTCAGGATGTCATCCACAGGACGTGGTCTGTGGGCAGGCCTTGGGTCTGTGGTGCCTGGGTCTCAGTGCCTGTCTGGTATTCCATCCCCAAGCCCCTGGAAACATCTGTCTGACATCCTCTGGGAATCTTTTAGGGAAGTCCCCTGTAGATGAAATTATGGATTGAATAGCGTACCTCCAAACCCATATCTGTTCAGACCCTTAGAAAATGACCTTATTTGGAAACATGAAATTAGTTAAGGATCGGGATGAGATCATTATGAATGAAATCTGGTGACCTCTATCCTTATAAGGAGAGGAGAAGACACAGAGATACAGAGAGGGACATGTGAGGACAGGAGGCAGAGACTGGAGTGACGTGGCCACAAGCCAAGAACACAGGAGCCGCCAGAAGCTGGAAGAGGCCAGGAAGGATGCTCCCCTAAAGCCTTCAGAGGAAGCATGGCCCTCGTGGCACCTTGATTTTGGACTTCTGGCCTCCAGAAATGCAAAAGGATGAATAATTTAAAAAAAAATTTGTTTCACACCACCTAGTTTGCAGAACTTGTTATGGCGGTCCTGGGAGACTAATTCGATGGGTTCTGCAGATTGGGAAACAGACTCAAAGCAGTGCTGGCCAGAAGGAGATATTTCCAGAGTAAGAGGAAGGAGGTGTTGGCATGTGGGAGTCCTACGGTGTATGAGAACACCCTACTCGCGTGTTGGTGTCTGTTCCCCAGCTCCACGGAGGCGTGGAGGCAGGTGTGGGGACCGGGGCACCTCACAAAGCTCCTCCCCCAGATTTCCCAAAAGGTGACTCTGCCATTTGGCCCCTCAGCACGTGAGCCCGTCATTTCTTATGGGTCACTCTCCCCCATGTGAGACAGCCTGCCTCCCGCTGTCGAACATGAGGTGCCCATGTTGCCCGGTCTCTTGCCCGGTCTCGCATACTGGTAGGGCACCAGCACATAATGGTTCTGCCAGTTTAGCCTTGAGTTGAGAGTTAGTGGCATGCGAAAGCCGGGGCCTCGTGGAGGGTGACAGAGTGGTGGCAGCCCCTGCCATTTTCCACACGCAGGAGCGACAGTGGCTCCCCTGAAGCATCCGTCATCCACTTTGGATGGCCTTGGTGGAGCGAGCTCCAGGGTCTGTGCCCTGGGTGGGGAGGTGGCTGTGGCGCCTTCATGGGCCTGACCTTGGGCCTTGTTTCTGGCTGCATGCCCTTCAAGCTTGCTTCTAGAATCATCTATCAGCTACCTGATGTGCCACCCTCTTTAAACAGACAAGCAAGCAAGCAAACGCGTGAATAAATGAGTTCCTTTCCTGCTTAACTCAGCTCAATTCAATTGCTCTCGGGCGCAAGCTAAGAATTGGGACTGAGACACCCAGGCCGTCAGGCAGTCTGTCTTCGGATCTGACCCTTACGTGGTTCTTGTTGATTGCATGCCTTAAACTTCCCTGGACACAAATGTTCTAAAATATCCTGTTTTATGGTCCCACAAAGACTTACATATTTAGTGGAATGTGTTAGTTTTGGGTTCAGAAAATGTGATCCTTGAAGCCAGTGAGGATTGCTTTCTCATATGCCCAAGGTGTCTGGAGGCTGGGCCAGGAAACACCCCCTGACACCCTGAAACCAGGCTGAAGCCACCAGGGCTGTGCTGAGCCCTCTCCCATTTGCCACCATGTCATCTCCCTGTCTTCCTGAGTCACTTTTACTCCTGGGCTGCTGGTGTCCCTGTCACCCTGACCGCATAAAGCTCGTTCTGTTTTGGGACTTGGGTTTTGTGGCTCCTTCCTTGGGATCGCTTTCCCCACACCTTCCTATACAAACTGCCCTTGTTGGCCCTTGTATCTGACTCGGGTCTGCCCCAGAACTGCCTGACAAAGCCTGGCGGGCATCTGTTACTGTCCCAGCCCGACGGCCCCGTAGGACACAAGTGGAGGAGGTGTGGGGACTATTGGACTAGAGTGTTTCCTGCTGGTGGGCTTTCTAAAAGCGATCGACACTAACCCCACCTGCTTTCTGATGCTTTTGCTCATGTAGGTAGGTCCTCTTACCTCCTCCTGGGAGTCTGGCCCATTTCCTGTTATTATTTCCACAACCGGGTCAAGTGTAATTCTATTCTTTCTCCTTGGAGCATAGCTGGTGACCGAACACACGGGTGGGCCTGCTCATTAACGTTAGCATCCGCAGTTCCTGCCGGACCCCAGCATGATTGGGGTCCTTTTGTCCATTTCGGCCTTTCTGGGCCACGTGGGGCCACAGGCAACCAAGGAAGGACCCGCCTTCAGTCTCCTGTGCCAGTCCTTCTCAAACCACCCGTGGCCTGTCCCCCAGGGGGTTGTCTAGTTTCCAGGAAGGATGGCTTCCCTGGAAACTCAGGCTGCCACGGGACCGATCAGTGCGTTTGCTTTCTTTGGGCGCCGCAAGGTGGCCCGGGGCACCCCGAGGCTCAGCCAGTGGTGGGAGCCGTGTCTGCCGGCTTCCATTTGTCTGTTTCAGGCAGAGGAGTTTCTGGGAGAGTCTGAGAAGCTCTACCCAAGACGCCGAATCCCCTGATGACACATGTTCAGCTGTGGACCCTCCAGCAGACTGCTCGTGCAGGGGATGGCGGGGCTGGTGAAGAAAGGAGAGCTTCCAGGCCCCCCTGGGGGGAGAGGGTGTTTGGGGCTCCTCCCCCGGCTTTCCTGGCCACTCAGCCCTCATCATTTCCTCCTCTTTTTTCTTTAAAAAACGAAGAGACATTTTGTCCATATACCTCATTCGGCATTTACAGCCAACTGCTTCAAGCGTTGTCAAATTAGCTGTCTTTTAAATGGCCAAGGCAGGGGCACCTGGGTGGCTCAGCCGGTTAAGCATCCGACTTCAGCTCAGGTCATGATCTCACCGCTCATGAGTTCCAGCCCCACGTCCGGCTCTGTGCTGACAGCTCGGAGCCTGGAGCCTGCTTCGGATTCTGTGCCTCCCTCTCTCTCTGCCCCTCCCCAGCTCATGTTCTGTCTCCCTCTCTCCCTCTCAAAAATAAACAAAAATGTTAAGCAAAATTATTAAAAAATGGCTAAGGTGAAACACAGGTCAGTTATTACTATCTTCACCAAACTCCTCAGCAAGTATCAGGAGAGCTTTATACTCATAGTTTTATATGTGAAATACACTACTCACTTTTGCTGTATGTTTTGCATACAATAAACATTTGTCGAGTGATGGAGCCGTCCTCCTGGAGAGAAAAGACCACGATTTGCCTTCTTTTCTTGTGTTTCTTCTATCATCCACCTTTTTGCTTCTTTCCATGGCTTAACTTAGTCTGGGATCTTGGATGAGAAAATACTGTATCTTGATTTTTTTTTTCGTGGTGAATGATTTTTTTTTATTTTTTATTTTTATTTATTTATTTTTTCAATATATGAAGTTTATTGTGAAATTGGTTTCCATACAACACCCAGTGCTCATCCCAAAAGGTGCCCTCCTCCATACCCATCACCCACCCTCCCCTCCCTCCCACCCCCTTCAATCCTCAGTTTGTTCTCAGTTTTTAAGAGTCTCTTATGCTTTGGCTCTCTTGCACTCTAACCTCTTTTTCTTTTTCTTTTTTTTTCTTCCCCTCCCCCATGGGTTTCTGTTAAGTTTCTCAGGATCCACATAAGAGTGAAACCATATGGTATCTGTCTTTCTCTGTATGGCTTATTTCACTTAGCATCACACTCTCCAGTTCCATCCACGTTGCTACAAAGGGCCATATTTCATTCTTTCTCATGGCCACGTAGTACTCCATTGTGTATATAAACCACAATTTCTTTATCCATTCATCAGTTGATGGACATTTAGGCTCTTTCCATAATTTGGCTATTGTTGAGAGTGCTGCTATAAACATCGGGGTTGTATCTTGATTTTTCACACAGGTAACTGAAATTTAGCATTCTCTCCAATTACAAAGGTAACAAACCACTGCAGTATTTATGGTACCTGAGGTTCCGTCGCCAACTGAAATCACAGACATTTTTATATCTATTATAATTATTGAAAATACTTCACAATGCTATTTGTGCCCATTAGTCCTTCCCTAGGACCGTGATTAGACTTATTGCTGGATCCTGTCATTTGCCACATTGAAAACAAACATACATACTATGTAAAAACGTACATATTTTACACTTTGATAACTATTTAAAAATGCAACTGGTTTCCTTTGGAATCCTACCTATTTTAAGTCTTTAAGGAAGAGGTCCATAGTTTCACCAGCCTGCCAAAGGGGTCCACAGTACACGAAGGTCGAGACTTGTTGGTTACACAGTGCCTTCTGTGCCTTGATTTTTCGTCAGTGTCCAGAGGGCTGGTGGATCAGAGCAGGTGGCCAGAAAGTGGAGCGGACTAAACCTTTAAAGGTTTTAGAAAATGCTCTGACGGTGCAAAGTGAGATGCTGCCCACTAGTGGCTGGAAGTCGGAACTGCGAGACGGAATATAACGCAGGACCTTAGGGGGTGTGGGGTTGTGGATAAGCTTCCTGGTACAGTACTTGGGGGTGAAATAAGAGAATAGAGGCAGCGGATGATTTTGCTCCCGCCCTTATATCCCTGTCGCTTGAAACCCTCGCCCTCGTTCTCTGCTCCAGCCACCTTCGCCGTCTTTCAGTGACTCAGAAGCTTCCTCCCGCTTAGGAAGTTGGCACCTGCTGTTACCTCCGCTGCACGGCCCCTCCCACCTCGTCATCTAGATAACCGCGCTCTCCCTCCGTGTCTACGATCTGGCCCTGAACTGCCAGTCTGGGTCAGCCTCCTCGATAATCTCCATTTAAACCTGTGCTCATGCCCTTCACAGCCCTTTCTCAGTTTGTAACTACATAGTCCCCCTGCAAGTTTTTTGTGTGCCATGTTGATCATCGAATTAGAGGGTAAAGACCCCGAGGCAGGGGCTGCCTGCTTTTGTACCCTCGGTGCCTGCCCAGGGATACTCATTTATTGATGAAGAGTACATTTTAATTGGAAAAGTCATAAAGGGACGGTGAAAGCTAGCAGAATGGATTTAGGTAAGTAAAAAACTCTAGTCTGATGGCTTTCCTCCGTCTATGGCACCCTGTGGACCACCAAGGGCCCTCTGCATTCCTAGCAGACCTGCTTACACCAGTGACATGGAGACGTCAGGTCCACCACAGTAGAAACTATAGCAAAACTGACGGGCCAAAGATCAGATCCTGGCCTCCATATTTCCTTCTGGGGTTGAGCTCAGCTTCTGGGTGCCTCAGTTTCCCCAACTGTAAAATAGCAAAAATAATAGCACCTATGGCACAGAATGGTTACGAATGCTAATGAGGTAACGTACGTAAAGAACTGAGCACATAATAAGTACCCACCAAATGGTACCAACCCAAAGGAAAGCCACATGAGCCTGATAGATTGCCCCCTCTTGCCACCCTCTTGAGAAGCGCTGGATTTAGAAACCAGGGGCAACTTGCAGCAGGGCAGGGCCTGGCTCCTGATTCTTCCCCCTGCTCTGTCTTGGGTGGGATGTTCACGGAGCCTGCTTAGGAAGCAAAACAGAGAGGCAGAAGATTCTTCCTTGTAGCTTGGCTGGATCTCTGGCCATGTGTCTGTTTCACACGGCATATCTGTCCGGCACTAAGGCAGGTGCGCCCAACTTGCTGCTCCTGGAGAGAGGCCTGTGGTTGACGTTAGGATTTGCTCCCGATCTTTCCCACCCTCCCATTCCTGCCTAACTCTTACTTCAGAGACGACTAATCAAGTTCGTTTACTCTGGCGTAAGTGGAGGTGTGACATTTGAAACAGTCTTGGCATAGAATTTCACAGAATAGATTAATGAGCATGTTCGGTGAGTAACATATTCAGCTCAAGAGATATCAGTTGCGGTTATTTCCCTATTATAAAACAGTGGGTTGTCCCCAAAGCGCCAGGCTAGTTGGCCGTCCTTACTTATGTAACATCTGCTAAGCATCTGGCAGCGGAAGGTTTGTTTTCCTCTTCCAGGACCAACTGGGCTGTGCGGGTTTGAGTACCCTCAGTTCTGGAAGTTGCCACTAGAGGGCGGCAGCAGCCAAGACAACTACACTCAGGATCCGCCAGACCCAGAATTAATCCCCCAGCAAGGAGGGAAGATGGTGAAAGCAAGGAAAAGTGTTAACAAGGATGACTGAAAACAAACCCAGGTGTTCTTTCTCTCTTGGGGACCAAATGGAAGGAAACAGGTAGCTAGCGGGGTTGAAGTTCGACTCAAAGAAGAACTTCCAGAGCACCAGGTTTGCTAATGAGAAATTTTTTACAGGTGACTTTTTTTTTTAACCCCTTCGCTACATCTGTGGAAGCAGAATAGAGGGGACAGTGGGCTCTTCCAGTCCAAGGCCCATGTGACCCAGTAGGTTCCCTTAAAGTAACCCTTCTGTGTGTGTGCCTTAAATGACTCCATTCCGGCAGATGCAATCATAAAATAACTTTATTGGTCAGGTTAACCACCACTCATGCATTTCCTATAATAAGGATCCTTTATAGAGGCATGATGGTGTTCACATGCAGACGCTTTCTGAAGGGCCTGGGGGCAGGGGCAGCCTTGCCCCCTCACATCAGAGCTCCTTTGTTGAAATGAGCTGGTTTGGCTTTTGTGGATTTTGGAGTCTGGAGCCAAGAACAGAATCCAGGGCTCCTCCCCTTCACTTCTCAGGGAAGCTGCTTCAAAGCACACACAGTATCAGGGATGTAATGGCATCTGGACAGGGGCCAGGCGAGGACTAGTTTTTCTCAGGCCAGCCCCTGCCCCCGGCCACTCCATCCCAATGGCGCCCAAAGGAACAGGCCGGTTCGGCCCCAGGCAACATCACCTTTCAGACATGGGGAGAATGAATTGCTCTCCAGCCAAGCTATAAAGCAACAGCCATCTTCAGGAATGAGGGTGTAGCTCAGAGATGTGACAGCAGAGGGTTTCATCCTCAGCACAAGCCAGATTTGGCTGCCTGGCCCCGGGCTTCACAGACCCAACGAGCATCTCCAGCCGGAGCTTCCACTACGAGCTGTGGTCTCAGGACAAATCAATGCGTACAGCTGAACCACAGCCTCCACCTGTGGGCTAGCCAGGCAAGTTCAGGGCTGCCTGGACTCTGTTTCTCCCATCAGGGTGTAGACCTTTCTGCCTGGACAAGAGAGGGAGAAACTACCTTTCTTGTGCTTTGAGAACCATATGCCTTTGAGGACGAAGACCCAAGTTGGGAGCTGCTGGGAATATAGAGGGTTCTGGGCAAGGGCGAAACCCCAGGGGGCTGCTTCCTTAGTTCGGCCAATTTGGGACGTTTGCCCCCATTATGGATGCCGATGTAAGCAAAGGCTGTCCTTTCCTGTTCGGAAGTCTGATCCACCTTCAAAGAACCGCCCAGCTGCTAAAATATAGCCCCACCCATTTATCAAAGCCTAAGGTTGCTTGTCTCCTCCCGCATCAGTCCCTGAATATTGTCATCATGCTGGTGACCTCCAATCTGGTGGCTTTCAAGGAGCGGAGTTAGGGACGGTGTAGAGGGGACTCCCAGTTTCCTTCCACCTCCAGACACTAGTGTGAGTTCTCT